GCCAAATACAGTGGACCAGAACAATAGGAACAATGTCTTGAGGGCATGTGAAGGATCAGCAAGGTCCTACCTTTCACAGGCTCAAAATTGAAAAAATAAAAGCCTTTGCCTTGATAAGACAGCCTGAGGGCACTATGCTCCAGAACATCAGCTTCCTAGGCAATTTGTTCCCTGGTTCACGTCACTTAGCTGTCCAAGAACCTGGACACCTCTGCAACCATGATATGAGAGCCCAGCTACTGCTTAAGCTGGTGGCAGAAGTTGACACTAACAATATTGAGCTATTTTTACAAGCATGCAGAATGCAAAAGTTGTGGGGTCATGGAGGCTTCCATTAAGACTTTAAAAGAAGGCCTTGGAGGCCAGGTAATATAATCCTGAGAGGCCAGTGCATAATACTAAGAGTGAAGCTGAAAATGCAGTGGAGACCCCAGAGAACTGGGGAAAGCAGGAATGTAGAATGTCTGAGGAAAGCTGCAAGAAAGCAAAAGCAGCCCAGAAGAGAAGCAATGAGGGCTAAAACCACTAACAATGGTGTAGGAGCAGAACTGCCCAAGACCTTTGGAGTTCACATGTTGCCACAGCTTGCCCTAAGTGCTACACATGGATATATTGTTTTCTCCACTGGTTTTTGTTTGGCTTTGGTCCCATTGTTTTCTATCCCTCATTTTCCCCTTTGCGGCAGTATTTAATTTGTTTTTGATATTTACAGGAGCTCATAGCCAAGAGTTTGCCTTAAGTCTCAGATGAATCTTTGGACTTGGACTTTCTGGCAATGCTAAAACTGTGTAGATTTTAGCAACTCTTAGAGATGGACTAAAAGCACTTTGCAAAAAGGGATGCACAGGAGTCTTTTGGGGACCAGGGGCAGAATGCTATGGCTTATAGCTTTATGCCCCAAAGAGCTCATGTGCTCACAGACATGGCTCTTGGAATGTGATTGGATTATGGGGCTTATATCTACTTGTGATTAGCAGGTGGGATCTGGTTGGAAGAAGTGAGTCACTGTGGGTAGGTGTGGCCTGAAAGGGCTATTCTCTTTCCCCAGCTACTCTCTTCACTCTCTGCTTTCCTGTCCATCATACTATGAGCAGTTTTTCCTCCTCTGTACCCCTCTGTCATGATGTCCTACCCTGGAGCTAGCCAACTATGGACTGAAACATGAGCCAAAATAAACCTCTCATCCCATAAATTGTAGGTATTAGGTAGTTTGTCCTAGTAACAAGGCAACTAAGACAACATGAAACTATATATGTTATTACAATTATAAATGTTCCTAAGTGAACAAAAGAAAGGTTTTATTTGGGATTATAACAGGAGGATATGATTTAAATAAGAAGGAAGTCAAGGAAGTCTCAGAAAAAGTTATGTAAGCAAAATATAAAGAATGAATTGAAGTGAGTGGATTTGAGTGTTGGGAAGCAGAGCATACCAAGTGGAGGGATGTGTAAAATTCCAGCAAGTGTAAAATTCTAGAATTGAAAAGATCTTAGCACTTTGGAAGAATAGGATGAAGAATGTTGTAGGGAAGGACAAAGTAGAACAAGGTGAGGCTAGAGTATAAACACAGGATGCATAAATCACACAAGCACTTTGTTCAAGAAGGACCCCTCCCCAATAAAAGGATTGCCCTAGTAGATTGCTGGTCATCAAATATAGAGCAGAGATTCTTGTCAGAGAGAGAGAGACAGAGACAGAGACAGAGACAGAGAGACAGAAGAGAGACAAAGAGACAGAGAGACAGAGAGACAGAGAGACAGAGAGAAAGGAGAACTTAGGCTTTGCTTTAGGAGCTCTTTATGGAAATATAAAGGATCATTTTTATTTCCAATGTTTATACATTCTTTCCTAATTCTGGATGTAATTCTTTGCTCTGGGCAAATGTGTAAATTATTGTTCAAGCTTTTTTTTTTCTCACAGGAGACCAAAAGCCAAGACTTTAGATGGCTAGAAGGATACTAGTGTGATTTATGTCTGGATGTCCCCCAAAAGCCTCATGCAGTCTTGGGGCGGGATTCTAGAGTTTCTGATTGATTCTTGATCAATGTTGGGATTATAGGTGTGAGTGCTACACTTGCCCTGGGGCAGGTAATTTGCATACAATGTAAGGGAAGGAAAGAGGCTTGCCTTCTGCTACTCCCCTGTTTTTGCTCTTGTTGCTTTTGCTGTTTTCTGCCACCATGAATGGTTGCCCTGTGCCATGTGCCACCCTGCCTTGGAGCCAGCCGAGCACGGACTGAAACCTCCATAGACTGTGAGCTAAATAAACCTTTCCTTCCTTAATTTTGGGTGTTAGGTATTTTGTCTCAGCAACGAGAGAAAAGTAACTAAGACAGATACATAGCTTAAACTTCTGTTCCTCTCAAGAGGAAGGGGACTAGCACAGGTTATTAATAGTGCACAGATGGGTAATTGTTTTCATTGTTGTTTTGATGCCTTTGAAGAAGACCAGATTAGCTCCTACAGTGGGATAGGGTTACTATGAATACAATAAACATTGTCATTTTAAATCGTTCTGGAATAAGTTAATTCTGCGGTAGGGCTGGACTCAAGGACATTTGCAATGGAGTCAGATCAGTGGATCCCTGCAACATGAGGCAGATCTAGGGGTAAACAGAGAAGTGACCGGGAGAGGACTCCTAGGTAGCCCCTGGAGTGGTAAAGCAGTCTTTATGTTTTCCTTTCTAACATGTTTCCTTTCTTATCGCAAAGCAAATTTAACCAAGCTTCAGCAAAGTCTTAACAAATTGTGTTCATAATCTCAACTCTCACTGTTTTGGATTAAAGATAGGGTCAATATTCAACTTAAGCAAGGGGCATGGGGAGAACAGTAGCAGCCTGTCTTGAGACAAGCATGTATAACTGCAGAAAGAGTAAATAATCATTTGGATCCCTAAGTGAATTCTAATGAAAAGTGAGTCACAGAATTGGTCTGTGAAGTGTGTGCTTCTTGGTGTTTCTCAGAAATGCCTAGAGGCAGAAGCTTGATAAAACACTGGACCTTCTGCATTTAGGAGAGATGAAGCTGATAGTGCAGTTATTTGAAGATTAAAGGGATGTACAAGATTTGGAATTTGGATTACAAATATATTCTTTGTAATTCTTATGAGTATGTAAGGTAATTTTATTATCTCAGGAGAGTGAGGCTCAAAGGTGCTTAATCCAAGACCGAAGGGTGACTAAGAAGCAGGGTGGAGCTCATGTTTAGGTCTGTGTGTTTTCAGTGCCCAAGTTCATTCTGTTACGTCACACTGCTTCCCTGAGTGACACAATCAAAAGACCTTTGAAAAACGAAAGCTGGGGTCATTTTCTTCCACTCAGGAGCTAGACTTCGGGGAACAGCTCCAAGGAAAGAGTAGGAGATGGTACTAAAAGCAAAAGGACCTTTTCTTTAGAAGAAACTGAGGTCTCTTGTGCTATCTTTTAACTCCTGCTTCCTTAGCTACAGCACTATGCCCATTTTTATCTCCACCGTCAGAGTTCCCTTTTCCTGTTTAAAGTTAAACCTCTACATGAGCCTCTGATTGTGTCCTCCTCTCTCTTCTCCCAGACCTAATCTTGCCATCTAACCTATCACTTGAAGCCCAAATCTCCTTCCATCTACAGAAGTTAACGTTTCCTTGTTGTTATCTAAGACTCTGCAAAAATGTAATTACATTTGTTAACGGTGTTTCCCCACATCCCAATAAGTTTTCACTTCATTCTCAACCAACTTTTGCTTCCATTTCCCTACTATCATTCGTGTCACCCTAACATCCTAGTGAGTACTTTTTAAAAACTTTTTTAAAGGAAAATTTCACACACATATAGGAAAGTGTTTGTGTGTATAGTTCAAACAATGAGAACATAGTGGATATACTCATGTATCCACCACCAGGTTAAGAAATGGACATGCTAAGCACCCTGAAGCCTTGTGGCATCCTCCCAACCATTACTTCCTTCTTACTCCTAAAGGTCACACCATCCTGAGTTCTCACACTTTGTAATAGTTCTAAACATTCTATGAATGGAAATTTATATCATGTGGTCTTTTGTGTCTGGCTTCTTTTGCTCAGCGTTATGTTTGTGCAGTGCTGTTGCATGTTGCAATGGCTTATTATTATTATTATTGTTATTATTATTATTTTCAAGACAAGGTCTCTCTATGTACTTCAGGCTGGCCTTAAACTCACTATGTAGCCCAGGCGGACTTGGAACTCATGGCAATCCTCCTGCTTCAGCCTCCTGAATGTTGGGATTACAGGTGTGTGCCACCGTATCAAGCTTATTCATTTTTATTATTTCAAATAAGGGTCATATTTACAATGAATATTCTTTTCCTTGACTTCTTGATGTACATATGCACTATTCTTCATCTTTTTTTTCCTATACTTGAGACTGAACCCAGGACCTTTGCACTGAGCTACATTCCCAGCCCTTTTTTATTTTTGTTTTGAGACATGATCTTGCTAAGTCATTAGGTTGCCTAGGCTGATCTTGAACTTGTGGTCCTCCTAATGCAGCCTCTAGAGTGCTGGGATTACAGGTGGGTACCTCCACGCCTGGCTCATCTATCTTCTGTTGTTCAGAGAAGATAGTTTGATAAGCAGCACCATTAAATAGACTGGGAAAATTAAGGCACAATAATAGTTAACCAACTGGACAAGTTTATCACGAGCAACTCCTGGACTCACATGGAAGTGCGTAAGACCCATACAGTCAAGAGAACCCATGTGGGGAAGAGCTGTGTCTTTGAATGCAGGAATCCAGTGAACAGGGAACAGAAACAAACTGTGTAATTAAGTGTAAAATTGCCTACACTCCTAAGTAAAGGCAACTTTTAGAATCCTGTGGGCTAAGAGTAGACAGTTTAATGCTAGGGCTGGCTTCCCAGCCCTGTTCACCTCTATCTGTGTCTAGAGAGTCATCTGGAGGCCAAGCTTGGCAACAAGGAAGACGTCTGAGAGACTGGGGTCATTTCCCTGGATTTCAAGCATATCTCTGCCAGGCAATCCTCTTACCTCTGCCTCCCACTCCTGAAGCTGAAGCTAAGACCTAAGTGAACAGTGAGACTTCAGACTCCCTTCCAGTCCTCGGGAGAGAGGCGTCTTCCAAGGGATCGGGAACCCAGGGCAGCTCCTGCTGGAAACAAGGCTACTGTCAAAATGCAGAGGTTGACAAATGAAGTTTGAAGCCTGCACATATTTGAAAATCGGTGGAGGTGAGAAGAGGGAGCAAGGGCTGACGCTGAGGCGCCGCGTTGGAATTTAGACTTGGAAGGGGTATGGAAATAGTTGCAGTAACGGTGAGCCCCTTCGATTTTAGCGCTTAACTTACAAAAAGCTGTTTCCTGACTTTCACCTCTTTCTGGGGAAGCAGAGCAGGGAGCGCCCTCGTTTTGCTTTGGTGATCTGTGGAAGAACAAGTCTGAATGGAAGACGGCGTTAAGATCCTAATCTACATCTCCAGTTCCTCCTCAGCAGCCCCGAAGGTGAGAAAATAAATAGGTCAAGAGACTTGGAAATGGTCAGAGGCCACAGCAGTCTCAGGGAGAGAGGTGACGGGGTAAGAAAGGTGTGAGGACTCTGGGAACCAGTACCCTGAGCGGTTGGGGTCTGCGGGTTCGCTGACTCTGGCTTCAGGGAGGCTAGCAGAGCGGTGACACCGCCTTCCTCGCACGCCGTCGAGCGCCCTCTGTCACCCCAAGCCGTGGCGCCCGGGACGCGGGGAGAGCGGACCGCCCAGGTGCGCCCGGGGTTGGGCCAGAGCCCGGAAGGTGCGCCGTCCCGCCCCAGGCGGGTCCCCGCTGCCTTCCCCCCGCGTGAAAGTGAAAGTGTCGCCCCGTGGAGGTCAAGGACTGGGGGCGGGGCCGGCGCGGACCCGGGAGCGGGCGCTGGGCACTCGAGGGGCCATGGATGGGCTCGGTCGCCGCCTTCGAGCCAGCCTGAAGCTGAAGCGCGGTCGAGGGGGTTAGTGCCGGCCAGGGCGCGCGGGGGCGAGGGCGCGGGGACCGCGCGGAGGCTGGGGAGCTGGACTAGAAGTTGGCGCGGGTTGGCGGCTAGGGCAGGGTGGCGCAGGCGTCCGGATCCGGGAGCCGCTGGGCCGGGTAGGGGTCAGGTGAGCCGGGCGAGCTCAGGTAGAGGTGAAAGGGATCCGCTGGGGGCGGGGTGGGAGGTCAGCGGAGTGACCCGGCCTGCGGGGACCAGGGGGTGGCGTCCGCCCAAAGGAAACCGTTGAGGGGTTCCAGGGCCACGTGTCCTTCCAGCCAGGAAGCTTGTGGTGCAACCGCAGGGCGCCTGAAGCGCCCCAGCTGCGGTGCCCTCGCGGAGGCGCCCGCCCTGCTCCACATCGCTGCCGCGGACGGCTGTGGCATTTGCCCAGTTTCGGGGAGACAACGTCCCTCTGACCTGCAGGTAGCCACCAGCCACGAAAGCTGGTCTCCCTGACGACGTTTCCGCCCCACTCCTAGGTGGCCGAGTGCCCTGGGGAGGGTGGTTGTGGCTTGGCGTCAGAGCCGCTAAGAACCTGCTTAGCTGCTTCCTCCGAGTGTGATTGGGTTGTCTAGGTCTCAGGCTGGGACCTGCCTTACTCCTCGGCCCCCCATCAGTGAGATGGAATAACTTCCCTGTCCAGCAAGTGGGAATTAAATTAGAAGTCAATGTCAGTTTCTACTCTTTGTTTTTAGCAGGAGCCTTGGGCTTTGGAAGGATGGCAACCAGGATTTCACTAATTTATCCATTCATTTATCAAACAGTGTTGGCTCTTGTAGCTGGTCAGCCCTATAGCTGAGTGGCTCTGACTCTTTTGACACTTTACCTAGAAGTCCTGCTTCTGAAGAGAAGAGGACTGGACAATGAGAGGAGATCATTTCCAGGCAGCTCAGTCCTTCAAGGCTGGCAATTCTAGAGCCCCATGAATCTCTCTCCTATTCCAAGTCCTGGAGTTGGGGAGAGCCCAGGAATTAGGCCAATGCCTCCTTCTCTGAACTGCACTGACTTCTGAGTGATCTGCTCTTTGTTCTATTCCCATTCCTTCTTCTACTCCTGTTCCTTCTTCAGTCCCTCTATTCTCTCTAAAATCTGGCTATTAGCCGGGTGTGATGGCGCACGCCTATAATCCTAGCACTTGGGAGGCTGAGGCAGGAGGATTGTTCCGAGTTTGAGACCAGCCTGGGCTACAAAGTGAGCTTAAGGCTAGTCTGAGCTGCATAGTGAAACCCTGTATCAAAAAAAAAAAAAAAAAAAAAAAAAAAAAAAGATAAAATCTGGCTATTACATCTGAGGAAGCTCAGACACTGACTCCCTCTGGACCACCAACCTTTTTTCCCTGGGCCTCTCAGAGCCTTGCAAATTTGTTGAATGAATAGGGTCTGCTTGCTGCAGCCCAGATGAGGCGTTCCAGTTGCCCCACCCGCCCATCCCAACTCAGTGTAGGGCAGGTGACTGTTTGGGGGAGCTCCCTAACCTCTGAGGAACTGGGAAGTGGGTAGTCTCTTACCTGTTGGAAGGTCTAGTGACTGTCAGGCCAGAAGAATGTTCTGCCTTCATCTTCCACTCTATCCTTCAGCTTTCTGGGGATTTTCCCTTTCTTCTCTTGCTTTTCTGGTACTAGGGCAGTTGTATGTTAGAAAGGGTTGTGTGTGTGCATGCATTTGTGTGTGTGTGTGTGTGCACGCCCACACTGGGTAGAGTGTTGTGGTTCTAGGTTGAGAGCATGTTAACTCAAAGAGGAAGGCCTGGCCGGCTTTTCACATTAGGTTCCAGGAAGTCTCCTCACCTGTATTTGAATCTAGACAGTTCTGAGACTCTGCCAGCTGCCTGTGGGAGGGGTTTCTTGATGGAGGAACAAGTGTAACCAGCCTCCTGACTTCTTTAGAAAGGGTGGTTCTCTCATCAACTAAAAGTCGGGTAGTAATTCCTCTCCAGGGCTGTGGGGAAAACATGAGATGCCTTCTATGAAGCAAGAGTTTGCTGGATGTTAATTTTCTTTGATGATTTTCTCTTCTGTTGATAGCTCCTTTTGTAAGAGGTGAGGGAGACAGTGGGATCCTACTGGATTTCTCAGGCCTTGGCCGAAAGTCTAGTGATGTTTTCTATCTATCAAAGACTTCTGAGCTTTACTGTTGTCTTGTCTCTCCTGATAAACCAGAAAGAAATGGGCTGAAAATGCTACCCAAAGGATTTAGGACAGGGCATGATTTCCTGAGGTTCTGGAACGATCAGTGAGAAGATTCTAGTTCTCAAAGCCCTTTGCAAACTGCTGCAGGATGTTTGCTGTGGAATGTACCCCGAAGGCAGGAGTCTGGTCATAGGACTTTCATAACCCCCACCCTTAGCAGATCCTGCTAATTTTAGATAGCTTCTGAGTCACTCCATGCCTCAGTTTCCCTGTCTGTATCTGGAAGGTACTTGTTCCTCAGACAGGAAGTTAGGATGGTACAGTAAGTTGTGCAGGGTGTGAATAAAATATGGTGATGGTTCTGAGTGTTCTGGTTCACTCTTCTTGGTTTGTACCATGCTTATTTACTGTGATTAAGGCTTGCTCTCGGGGCTGGGGATTTAGCTCAGCGGCAAAGCGCCGGCCTGGCAAGCACAAGGTTGTGAGTTTGGTTCCCGGTATCGGAGGAAGAAAACAAAACAAAACAAAACAAAACAAAAAAAAGCTTGCTCTCTTAGAGTCACGGCTGACTCATCAAGCCCTGGCTTTTACTAATGCCACAAAAGCCCACTGTAGCTCTTTGGATCAAGGCAGCTGCCTCTCCCACCCTAGCATCTCACTGCCTTCCAGAAGGCTGCTCATTCTTTGCAGAGATGACAGACCCTGGCACCAAACCCCTCTGCCACCTAACTCCTCTTTGAGGCAACTTTGTGGCAAAAGTCCTTTTGCTTGCTCTATGCATTTCCATATTGAAGGATTTCTGTGAGAATCAGGGGTGATTTATTGCTTTTTTTATTCTGTTCTTCAGTCTTCAGACACAGCAGTGGGTCAGCAGCTCAGCTCGCTGACCTGACCAGGTCATTCAGGGAAAATAGCTGAGTGGGAGTGGGGTAGAAATCACCCGGATGCTTTCCACTGGCCCTGCGTGACCTCAGGCTGCTGATGCAACCGGTGTCCTGCTCTAGGCTGGGGACCATTTCCTGAGTCAGGGCTTCATATTTGGGAAGATGGAATATGCTGGAGCCCTGGAACAGTCCTAGTGAGAGAGCTTCCTGCCTTAGCCCAGGACATATTGCAGGAGGCAAGAGAGCTTCACTGTAGTAATTCTGGAAATAACAGCAGTAATTCTCAGTGTAGAGAGATTTTGTTCTGTACTTTACCATCAAGGAGGAGGGAGTTTTGGGTCCATACTGACTTCTAAGACTCCTTCTTTTGCTGAAAGATTAATCCGTTTAGATCATTATTTGGCTGTCTCTTATTTTAGCCAGGGCACGGCAGGCAGTGTTTGGCCCTGTGCTCTTGGCTAAGGTTTTGAAGTCTTAGAAGTTCTGAAATGTGGCAGGTGGCCTTGCAGGGGTTTTCAGCTGCTTTTGACAAAGCTGAGAAGTAAAATGTTAGCAGTGCAAGTTGTGGTAATGTCAGATCACTGCCCTGAGACCTGTAGGGTTCCAGCGCCCCTAATCTACTGCTATTGGGCATTCTTAACTGTTCCAAGCTTGTAAATAAACTCGCTACACAACCCAAAGGCCAGAATTCAGAGCTCTTATCCCAGAACGACTGGGCCGTGGTGGTGTTTGCTCATAACCTTTTCTCTTACCACACCCCGAGGCTCTTGGGAGGAGCTTAGAGCCAGCGGCAGTGCCAGGATGCTGCCTGTGATCGTACCACGTTCAGCTGCCTCCTGGGTCCCGTCACATCCTTCTTGCTCCACCACAGGGTGCACAGGATGGAAACTGTTCTCTCCTCTTTGGAAGACATTGTGGAGTTTGGCTGCATAGCGTTGTGGCTGGAGACCGAAGCAGCGGTCGCTTTCTCAGGCTTTCTGTAGCCAGCCTGTGCTGGGGGAAAGGAGAGTGCTTCATGGCTGAAAGGCGCAGGAAGATGGAAAGACAAGGGGTAGGCCGGGTGCTCAGGATCCTCCGGAACCAGCTGCCTCGAGTCCGAGCAGGTCAGGACAGGACTGCCCACTTCCTTTTCATTCGGTGAACCTCTTAAACGGATCTGTTTCTTTCTTAAAGTACTCCTTCCTCTTTTTCCTTTGTGTGTCTATCGCCACATGGTCCCCCATGTGACCAGGGCAGGAGATTTCCCCTGCTGATGTACAGAGCTGGGGTTGCCCTCAGTGGAGGGTGGAGTAATCAAAGTCATATGCCCCTTGGACCTGTTCTGGTAATTCAGTACAAGTCTACTCTGAGGCATGCTGTTCCAGGGCTGCCCTGGGCACATGTCATAGGTAAGCTGAGACTTGTAGTGCCCTGGGGCACAGGACCTCCATGAAACTCTGGTATATTTCCTCAGCTTCCACATCAATGGTTTTTTCCTCCTCTTGGCTCTCCCTGGTTTCAAGTTTCCCAGGTGGGTGTGGAAACTGCCCACTTGGCTTTAGCCCTGTCCTGTGACTGCTGGCGCTGGCCTGGCTCCAGGTATCTCAGTGCTGGCAAGGTGGCTTGGAGGTATGGAAGTTGCTCAGATTCTTACAGACTTACAGAATGGATTGATGGAGTACTGAAGGGACCTTGGTGTTTTGGTTTTAGGACCTCCCCAGGATGGTCTAGGGGAATCTGTCAAGGAACCAGAAAGGACCCAGGAGCATACTCTTCCCAGCTTTGCTGGGGGGCAACACTTCTTTGAATACCTTGTGGTGGTTTCTCTCAAAAAGAAGCGTTCAGGAGATGACTATGAGCCCACCATCACCTACCAGTTCCCCAAGGTAAGGAGTGAGAAAGGGTGGGGGGCTGGGGGACAGCGGATTGGGGTGTTTGTAAGGTGATAGCGCAACTAGTCTCATTTCCGTTTCAGCCTAGCCTTAGTTTTCTGTTATCACCCACAAAATCTAGGTCTGACTGCTTTGTGAGGGATTGACTGAGGCTCCTAGCTGGGAAACTAGGCTAGTACTCTTTTTTTTTAAATTTTAAAGAGTAAAAGAAGGATAACATAATAATAGGGGGGACTTAGCAAATTACAGACAAAATGGTAGGACATTATCAATGGTTATCGTTTTACATATTGTTATCTACAAAATAGTTTCTCAGGAAAACAAATAGACAAATAATAGTGCCTTAGAGACAAAAGAGGTAGGAGATTATCAAGAGTTGTTGTACTACTTTGGTATCTTCAAAGTGGCTTCTAAATAGGCTAGTACTCTTGCCCCTTCTGGGGCCTCCTAGTTCTTTCCAATTTCATTTCTCTTAAAGAACCTTAGCTCCAGACAAACCTCCTAGAAGGAATCCCTCCTCCCCCGTGGGCTGTGTGGGAAAGAGAGGGTGGGGCGGGTACCCAGCTGCAGGACTTTGCCACAGCCAAGCAGAAAGCTTTTTCTTGTCTGATTCTGCACTGAACGAGAAGGTGAGAATATAGCATCCTCATTAATCTCTTTTTTTAGCAGGTGCAGCAGCTGAGGTGGCGGCTTCTCTTGTCTGATGTGGTATTTTTCTGACATTGCCCTCCTAAGGGGGTTGGGCAACTCAGGACCTTTCTGTATTCAGTGTGGCCCCTGACCTCCTTCCTATGTAGACCCCCAGATTCATGGTGATGTGGCCCAGGAGGAGCTGTCTTATCTTTCGTTCTGTCCTGCCAGACTCGGAATGCAGTGTTTAGATTGAGAGTTAAAGGTGCCCTTTGGTCCCTATGCCAGTGAAAAAGCTTATCCTCAGATACCTGTAAAGCCTCAAAAGAAACCCCGCTAGCCCTCCAACCTCCTTCTGCCCACAATACATGTCTTTTTCTTTTCCTTGTAGAGGGAGAACTTACTTCGGGGCCAGCAGGAGGAGGAGGAGCGGTTGCTCAGCGCCATTCCCTTGTTCTGCTTCCCAGATGGGAACGAGTGGGCACCTCTCACCGAGTATCCCAGGTAACCGCCAGCCCCGGCAGAGGTATCAGAATGGGCGAAGCAGGGATACCTATGAGCTCTTGACTTCTATGCTACCACAACCTGGTGTGCACAATGATTTCCTGCCAGGGACTGAAGGTGATTCCTTTGTAAAGGTATTGCAGCAAGGTCTTTAAAGATTTTAGTGTTTGTTCAACTTTTGTCAAAAGATGAGTGAGATTCTCTCACTTGTCCTAGGAACAAAAACCACTTCTTTGTTTTGTTTTGTTTTTATTGAGACAAGGTCTTGCTGTGCAGTTCAGGCTGAACTTGAGCTCACTTTGTAGCCCAATTTGGTCTTGGACTCGCAATGATCCTCCTGCCTCAGCCTCCAGAGTGCTGGGATTACAGGCGTGCACCACCATGCCTGGCCAAAAATCATTGTTTTTGACTCTGCTGATGGCAGAAGCTGGACTCACCAGAAGTCAGTACAGTAGAGATCCTTAAAACATGAGCTCTGGAAATTGACTACCTGTTTAAATTTGGTTTAACCACTTAGAAGTTAAACTTGGGTAAGAAATACCCTTTCACAGTCTCAGCTCCTTTTTATTTAAAGGGGCGATAATAATTGAATCTACCTCAAAGGTTGTTTTTGAGAATCAAATGAGGTGACACATTTAGGGTGTGGCACTAACGAGCACTTAATAAATTGCTGGGGTTATTACTGCCAGGCCTAATCAGTGGCTTCTTTTTAATCCTCTTCTCCACACCCGTCGCAGACTATCTTCTGTTTTTAGAATCAGCAAGCAAATGCAAACCAATACCTGTCTGCTCTTTTTTAGGGAGACTTTCTCTTTCGTCCTGACTAATGTGGATGGGAGCAGGAAGATTGGATACTGCAGGCGCCTACTGGTCTGTGCTGCTCAGAAATGCCCTCTCCTTTCTAAAGACTCTCTGTTCAGCATCTGGGCTATTTAAGCCCAGCTGCAAAATCCTGGACTCCTCGGCAGCGTGGTTGTAGAGAGCACAGCCCACCACCTACTTCCATGTCAGTGTCCTCTCTTTTTCTTGCAAGAATTAGAACAAGGCTCTCTCCTTGCCCACCTAGGGAACCTCTGCTGCCGGGTTCTGATGTGTGCTCTCCCAGCTTTAACAGCTCTCATCACTGTGACAGTGTCCACCTGACTCCTCCCCTAGTCTTCACTACCTAGGCCAGCTTAGGGCCTGGAGTTTGGAGCCTCCCAGAACAGAGTCTGGGATTTTGACAGTACAGTTTAAGTCTTGGGTGTCAGGGGATTCTCCATGGGATTTTTTACAGTGATTTCCTCATCTCTGAGACACATTTGGTAATCCGCAGATCCTGTTGGCCCTGAAGGTAGCAGTAGTCTACGGTTGTCTACTCCTCTGAAGGTGACCTTCTTTTGATCTTAGTCACCATTTTGACCCTCCTACTGCAGAGCCAGGCCTTTCTCCACGGGGCCACTGTTCCCACTGAATCCCTACCCCAGCGCTCAGTCTGTACCACATTAGCCCCAGGTGGGAGAAGCCCCTGGGGAGGCTACCGCACTGAGGGAACATTTTGTGCCTTCTCAGCCCGCTGGCCCTGGCCCTCGCCTTCCTAAAGTGTACTGCATCATCAGCTGCATCGGCTGCTTCGGCTTGTTCTCCAAGGTAGGGGTGGAACAGGATTCCTTGGGGCCTGTTAAGCTTGTTCAGCTTCCGGGCTCTGCCTGGGTATCTGCCCTGCCTATGCAACCTGAGCCTGAGTGGACAGCCCACCTGGCATCAAGGACATTTGGGGAAAATGAGGTGGGGGCCTTGGGGTTGACTTAACTTTAAGGGAATTTAGAGGACTGTCTCAAAAGCACTTTCCCCACTCTGGTCAAATAAGAAAGCAGTAGAGGTAGCCATGCACGGTGGCACACCTGTGATCCTAGCCCTCGGGAAGGAAGCTGAGTTTGAGACCACCCTGTGCTATATAGTGAGTTCAAGGCCAACCTAATTACATAGTGAGACCTTGTTTCAAAAAAAAAAAAAAAAAAAAAAAGAAAGAAAAGCAAAAAGCAATTGAAGCAAGACAAAGGAAGACCTTCAAGACTGTCTTGTCCTGAACTCTAGCTTCCTCATCTGTCCAATGGTGTTAATTAATGTCATCTTACTGTTCTTTCTCCTGTACTGGTGTGAAGCTCAAATGAAGTGATGTAGAAGTCTTTGTATAAAAGACAGAGCATAAAATAAATATAAAAGTAATCATCATAAATTAGGAGCCCTGAGACTTGCTGTGACCTCTTTGAAGGGAAAAGGGAAGTTGAGGTCCCCAGGGCTTGTGCTGCTTCAGGGACTAATTAGAGTGTCGGTCCACCTGAATCAGCATTTGAAAGGGGCACATCTTGATGGCAAAAAGGGCTTCCTTTTGTTCTGCCCCATCAAGACCCTTGGAGGAGGAAAAAGGAACTTTGTCAGCCTTTGCTTGATTGGAACTTTCATTTGTGCAAGGTTTCAAGGGTTGGAAGCAGCCCCTGCTTCTGGGGTGTTCAGTGAAAACTGGAGGATAGGGTGACACCCATGAGGTTAGACCCCTAGGATCACAGTCCTGGGAGTGCCATCATGGGTGATGAGTTCATGCTGGATGATTTTGTGGAGACAACTGCTTTAGAAGAAGGGAGAAATATGTATTGGTAGAGAAAGTAAAAAGAAGGCTAGGAAATAGATCTTTTTCAGGAGACAGCAGATTTAGAATACTGGTCTTTGCAAAAGAGGGCAAAAAAGCCTGCAGGTGGAGGGGCCTCGAAGTACATGAGAATAAGCTGGACTGCACAAGAGCCTTCCATGTGCTCCTGAAATCCTTTCCTGCAGATCCTGGATGAAGTGGAGAAGAGGCATCAGATCTCCATGGCTGTCATCTACCCGTTCATGCAGGGCCTCCGGGAGGCTGCTTTCCCTGCTCCTGGAAAGACTGTGACCCTCAAGAGCTTCATCCCTGACTCAGGCACGGAGGTGGGTTAGCAAATGGCTGAGGTTCCCCTGGCTTCTGTGGCACCTCTTACCCCTCTTCTTCCATTCACCAGGTCAAAGTGTAGAGAAACTGAGCCAGGAGGGGACTGGGACTTGGTTAGAATTATTGGCAGAGCTGAAATATCAAATCCAAATTTCCTGAGCCTTCTAACCTGATGTCCACAAGCATGCAGTTACTGTTCAACCCACCAAGACTTGTATTTGTGATCAGGGTACCATGTAAGTTGAGGTTGTTGGTGCTAGGAGGACTTTGCCCCCTCCCCCAGCCCCCAAGCTGCCACTTGGCCCTACACCTCTCCCGTATTCTGTGTATCTATTCTATATCTCTACCTCATGGCCTCCGTCTGTCTAGTCCTTATCATCCATCCCCACCCTTGAGTCCCTACCCATGCAACCTGGGGATGCTATTGTTCCAATGCTTAAACAGACTGAGGCAGAAAGTGGAACTTTGGTTTAAGAATTCTAGTCCTGCCCTTGGAGCTCTGGAGAGCCTGTGTGCCCCTCTGGACCTTGACCTCCCCACAGAAAAATAAGGGAGTGGCTAGGACTTTTTCATCTACTCGGAAAATATGTTGTGTGTGTGCCAAGCTATCCTATTTCCTGGGTATGTGATGGTGACAAAAACAAACACGGTTCCTGACATCATGGAGCTAAAATCTGGTAGGAAAGACAGATGTTAAATAAGTGAACACACCAATGAATATATAATTAAAAATTATGGTATAGTGATAAAAGGAAAAACCAGAGTGCTACATGAGAGAAGGGTAGGCAGTATCAGGTGGTAGGAGTGGACCTTTGTGATCTTAAAGCGGATAAGAATGAAGGGAGGAGAGCAGTGAGGGAGAAGCCAACCCTCAAAGGGCTGTATAGCAAAGCACCCTCTGCTCCAGGTATAGAGGGAGCCGGGGTGAAGCAGGTTAGAGAGGGTAATGTGCTCAAAGCAAGATCTCACACCGTGCTGGAAAATATAACACCGTGCTGTCTTCGGAGCAGGTGAGTGCTGTTGGTGGCTTTTAGCCTGAGAAACAGGAAGGATCAGCCTCCTGCTGTAGGGAGAATAGAATAGGGCAGGTAGAGACCCAGCATTCTGGTTCCTGCATGATTTTGCAGGTGTGATGACGTTTTCCTCTCTGATTTTCCCACAGTTCATTTCTCTGACACGGCCCCTGGATTCCCACCTTGAACATGTGGACTTTAGTTCTCTGTTACACTGTCTCAGCTTTGAACAGATTATTCAGATCTTTGCCTCTGCAGTGCTGGAAAGAAAAATCATCTTCCTGGCAGAAGGTCTCAGGTGGGCCCAGACACTGAATGGCCAGAATGGCCTTCATCCTGGGTGGAAGGGAACAGGGTGGAGTTTGTCAAAGGAAGTCAAACTGTAGGACTTGTGCCTACTCCGTCACTTCCAGTTTCTGGATTTGTATATTAGGCTTAGAGAAACAGCTGCAGCAACCCTCTGCCCCATCTCCAAATTTGATTGCTGCCAAGGCCTGAAAAAATTTCCTGATTTAGTTCTGAGAAGGACGTGAAGGGTTCCTGGGACAGCCTAGGCAGAACCAATTAGGGTGGATGCAGGTATGACTTTACTCTTCTAAGGCCAAGGAGGAAAAGAGGGTGGAGAACAAGACAGGAAGATGTGTAATGATACAGAAGGTAAATCCATCTGTCCATTTGTTCACTCATTCAACAAACATTTATTTTGTGTCAGCTGCTTGCCAGATGCCAAGCATCGGGAAGATATCAGCGGGGGTTGGTTCTTGGCCTTAAGGGGATGCAGGATTATGTAATAGTTGTAAGTAAGAAACTCAGCAGAATGAGTTCCAAGTGCTGTTCTTCCGCCTTTAGTTACAAGGTATCCTTTAGGTCAGTTGCTTTTCTTAAAGTCCAGATCTCATTAGCTGCAGAATAGAAGTGATTGTACCTAACTGGTAGGTTTATAAAGGAAATAATTAGGTGCATACTGAGCACCTAGCACCCTGCCAGGTATTTTGGCAAGCACGCACTGCTGTTCTTAGTAAGGTCACAGATAAGTATATCCCTGTGAGTAGTCCAAGTGGGCCTCTGTCATGATTTGCTTTTTACCTCTGAGAACTTCAAGACTGAAAAGAGGAAATAAAGCTTGGGCCGGGGTTGGGGGGTCTCTGTTGAAGATTCTAAGAAAATCAGTGAAAGCCAGACACAGTGTATTACAGGAACTACTTGTAAGTTAATCTTTGTGGGGAGGGGCAGCATCTTTTGCCTTGGAAATGGCTCTTCTGCTCCCAACCCTGTGTGAAAATGAGAAGTTTCTGTTGTGCATGGGTGGGGTTCTCATCTGATCGCTCAGATCAGTGCTTGTGAAGTAGAGGCTGCAGGATTCACCTCTCAGAAGCAAACTTTCTCCAGGGAAATACCACTACTGCCATTTCCTCCCCGCAGTGAGTTTTCAGATCTCTGAGTCTCTCGGTGGGAGGGGACTTCCAGTCAGCCAGATCTTTAGCTATAAGCTCAGATGCTCAGTCTTTCTAACTCAGGAAGTATTAACTTGATAACAAGAATTGAAACAAGGTTTCTGCATCTGTGTTTTTATTGGCCTTGGCTTTGGGACAATTTGGCTGGAGAAGTGAAGAGTCATGAAACCAGTGTGTGTGTGTGTGTGTGTGTGTGTGTGGTAAGTCAGGAAGGGCTGAGTTGTGCCTTGGGCGCTAATGGCATAAGGACTGCTTCCTTGCAAAGACTAGAGAAGCCACCTCTGGGGGACTTTCCAGGAAGGAATTGTCAGGCAGAGGTTCCTGGAACCTAGGAATTTCCCAGACTCGCTCAGGCACCAACCTGGTAGCTTTCAGTAAATTCAAGTGGCCAGGGAGAGCCATGGAGGTCAAAGCTGAGGATGAGGAAAAACAGACATAAGAAAAGGCTCTGCCTTTCTGCAGAGGCCCCGTGGTAGCATAACTGTCTCTTCTCTACACTGTCAGTTCCAGACAAGCGGAATCAGTGTAGAGTTCTACCTGGCGTCTGCATCCTTAGCACAGTTACGAGCGCACAGTAGACGCTGTCACTCCTCTGAACAAAGATGTCTCTTCTTCTCTCTCCTCTTTTGAGCCACTTTTATTTTTGCCGGTAAGGAGTTGAGAGGACTAACCGGGAAAAAAAGATCAAATGGAGGCCGCATTCTAGGGCAGTGAACCCTCTTCTCTTCTGGTTTCTGCCCTTCCCTTCCTCATGACAAGTAGCTACAAGCTCTATGACCAGTGCGGCTGCCAGACATTTTTTTGCACCTGCAGGAGGTGCTGAGCGTGGAGTGAACACGTAAGGTGGAGGTACAGGGCCCTTCTGACTTGTTCCTGTTCTCTGCTCCAGCACCCTGTCTCAGTGCATCCACGCTGCTGCTGCACTGCTCTACCCCTTCAGCTGGGCACACACCTATATTCCTGTTGTCCCCGAGAAGCTTCTTGACACCGTCTGCTGCCCCACCCCCTTCATGGTTGGAGTGCAGATGCGCTTTCGGAAGGAGGTTATGGACAGCCCAATGGAAGAGGAGGTATGCTGCAGCAGGAGCAGTGCATGGTTTAGAGCCAGGCAGTCCTGGATTTCAATCCCAGCTTTGCTACTAACAACTATATGACTTGGGACAAGTTACTTAATCTCTTTAAGCCTGGGCTTCCTGATATGTACAAACGGGGACAACAGTGTTCAGTTCCTTGCAACTCTCAGGGAAATCACCTGTATAACGCTTGCAGCCTGGTACACGGCACACACTTGATGTTAATAAGGATTGGCTGTCTTCTACTGAATGATTTCTCTTTGGTCTTAGGAGGTGGTGCATAACTTAGCTGGGAGTCATGAGACTGTCCTGCACGAGCCAGCCTTGCTAAGCAATCGCTGAGATGTCCCATCCCTCAGCTGAACAGATGATCACAGCTGGTCTACACCACATAAACCCCACTGGAGTTCATTCACATTCTTTGGAAATAAGCTCTCCTATGAGGGCTACGAAAACTATTAAGTTTTGAAAACACAGATTTTTTTTTTTTCCTACAAGGCCCTACTTTCTAAGGAGCCCAGAGCTCAGCTGATTAATAAGGATACAGGTTCAAATTCCATTTGATTTTGTTAGTTTATTTCTGGAACATGCCCCTGACACAGCAGAGGGCTCCATTATGAAAATGGGCATTCATCACATAAATCTATCCCTGATGTTGAAAAAACAGCACGTTAGTCGGAACTTTAAGGACAGCGCGTTACCATACCTGAAGGAGAACTACTTGGGAATGTTTGCCACGGGCTAACCATTGATTCGCTCACTCTATGCAGAAAGGGCCTATCAAGGGAAGAGGAATCTAGAAGTATGCTTCTAAAAAGGCCTGGAGCCAGCCCTAATAAGAGGTTTTCCCATTTTATGTTAAGAGATACTTGAGATCAGGAGAACTCAGGTGTCTTAGAGGAGCCCATACAGGCAATCCAGCACAGATGAAACCAAGGTCCTTTTGGGAAAGGTACTGCTGGGAAAAAGAGAAGTAGGCAGTTTCCCTTCTTTGCTCCTCTAGCTCTTACCCTTCCTTAAAGCTGCTGAGTACACACGCCCTCTGAACTGCCCTTAGTCTTGTGACTAACTGGGACAGAGTATTTGCCCCGTGTTTAGCAATAAAACTTCAAATGTCCCAACCCCAAAAGTTATGAAAGTTCCTGACCCTGCAGCTCCAGCTCCTCATAAGCTAGGGCTCCTCCCCTGATGGTCAGGCTTGAAGACAACTGAAAAGCCAGGAGGAGTCTGGCTCCTACTATGCAGGCTTATTTTATTACTCAGCAGCTGCTCTGAGAAGGAGGCAGGGAGTGGGAGGGAGCGGGGAGAAAGGCCGTGTGGTCAGAGTGAGAGCTGGGGCGATTCCTTGACTTTCTACATAGGCTCATGGGAAAGGATTATTCCATGGATGATAATGTGCTCAGATATGTCAGACTTCAGGAAGTAGCCTCAAAAAAAGAATTCATCATACCACTTTTTCCTCTCAACCTTTTAAATGAACAGCTGTCTCTGCTTGAAGGCATCTGAGCCTATGTGTTCAAATGGTTTCATGCCTGAACTGGTTCAACTTTTCTCCCTTGATGATGGATAATTACAGTGCATGCAATTTTGGGGCATACTTTCAGTCCCTTTTTCCTTGTATTTGGAAAGAAGCATGTAAGGATCCTTTACTCTTGTCAAGAACCAATTCACAAACTGAAGAGGATCCCTACACAGGTCCCAAAATGCATGGCACATGATTTGGGGGGAACAGTGGTACACTGGTGACCAGATGTCCTGCCTAACGTGGGCAGCTGAGTATTGCCCTTTAAAATGTGGATCAGCGTTAGAACTGTTAACTTTTTAGAAGTCTCAAATCAAAGTTTAATGTAAACTACCCCAATTTAAATAACAGGAACTACACCAGTCATTTAAAAAGTATTCTGAGGAGCAAAGAAAGATCTCCTGGTTAGAATCAGCCAGAAGCCTATTTTTGTAATCTCTGGTTTATACTGCAGGCCCCATAGACCATGATGGGCCCAAGTTCTAGCCCTGTGCTTGTTTTACCTGTAGCTTATTGGCATCTAGTCTCTTCACTTATCTTTCCTTCCCTCTTCCTATTGACCCTGGGCTTATTTCCTTCCCTTGTTGAGCTTCCTGCTGGAGGACCAAGGCTCCAAAGGGAGTTTTTCTTAGAACCCCAGGCAACTGTCCATAAAGTTGTTGTAAGCATTAAAAGATCAAAACATGTCTACCTGTCCTTGAGTGACCAGAGGACAGGGAGTGGAAGAGTTGTAGAGAGAAATGCAATCCCAGGGACAGCGCAAGCTAGGCTTAGAAATTGTGCTGTTTATTAGCAGCCTGTCAACTTCTTTGTTCCCTTTTTTCAACTGCAAAACAGAGATAGTACCTGTCTCACAGAACTGCTAATAGCACTAAATGAGACAAAATATGCAAAGTGCTTATCATGTGTGCCATGCTCAAAATGCTCCATATATGGAAGTAATTTCTGTGATCAGTGTTTTATTAAGGGAGTGACTGGCTATGATTTCCCTATACTCTACTTTCTTTCTACTTTTGCCCTTTCTTCTCCACCTTTTCTAGACACACACCCCTTCCCCCGGAAGGGAACTGAGATTTCCACAGGAGAATGGTGAGGGGACAAGAGTATATGACAGGAAGTAAGAATCGAAGATGCTGATTTTGTTGTTACGTAGGCCCAGTGATATAACCACAGGCAGAAATGGGGCGGTAAATCCTCCTGAGAACTATGAGGAGATAAAGGCATTTTGTATTTACTTCAGGTCCTGTTGGTGAATCTTTGTGAAGGAACATTTTTACTATCGGTAAGTATCTGGATTTAGAGCCCCTGCAGGTCCACTACCAACTCAACCACTGTAGTCTCATCATGTTCTACTTATTTCAACAAACATTTTGAGAACTGCTAATAAGACCCCACTTTTCTTTTTCTCTTTTTGGCTTTGGAGACAGGGTCTTGCTGTGTAGTTCAGACTTGTCTTGAACCCACTATGTAGCCCTGGCTGGCCTTGGATTCATGGCAATCCTGCTGGCTCAGCCTCCTGAGGGCTGAGATTATAGCCGTGTGCCCCCATGCCTGGCCAGACCTCCCTTTTCTTGAGGAGGCCTCGAAGACCTAGATGACTTCACTGTAAGACAATCAGTACCTTTCAAACACAGGAATAGGGTGTCCTTTGCTAATGTTTAGAGTCAAAGTGAAGACGAAGAAACAGCTTCTATTGTTTCACTATGTGGGTGATTACTTGGGTGTGGAGTGGGGTATGGAGCTCATGCCCTCCTCCTTTTCTTTGCTAACCCCTGCCCTCCCACCTCCTCTCTGCTTTATCTCTGAGCTCACGCTGTCCTCTCTAGGTTGGTGATGAAAAAGACATTCTACCACCAAAGCTACAGGACGACATCTTAGACTCTCTTGGTAGGGGGATCGAGGAATTAAAGAGTAAGTTCTAGCTCATTTTTTTAATAGGAAATTAACAATGGTTATTACATTGCATAGTTATCTTCAAAGTAGTTGCTCAGATTACCGGATATAGGCATGCAAAATTGATCAAACAATGTAAGTACTGTTCCTTTCAATGAACTAATAGAAATCAGTAGTACAATTACCCTAGCTCATTCTTATTTTGAGTTTCCCTAGAGAACTTGAGGGCATAATTCCTAACCATTCCCTTCCAGAATTAAAATGGACTCAGGAGTTCTGGGCCAGCCCCAGAGGTCCAGATCCTAGGGCAATGAATAGGAGATTTTATTTTTCCTGAGCAATGGCAAAGAACACATACCCAGGGTCATATTTCAGTCAGTAATTATGAACCCTACCCCACTGCTTCCCTTGGGAGCTTTTGGCCTGCAATAACCACCATATATGGGCGCTGGGGATTTAGTGCAGCGGCAAAGTGCCTGCCTGGCAAGCGCAAGGTTGTGAGTTCGATTTCTGGTACCAGAAGAAAAACAAAAACAAAAAAAATAACAGAGAACCATACATGGAGATAACTTTGGGCAGGTTCACCCTCCTGCTACCCTTTGAGATGACCTTTATCTGTCCCTTATAGCTTCAGAAGAAATCAATGAGCATGTTTCAGGTCCTTTTGTGCAGTTCTTTGTGAAGACTGTGGGCCACTATGCCTCCTATATCAAGCGGGAGGCAAATGGGCAAGGTCACTTCCAAGAACGGTCCTTCTATAAGGCTTTGACCTCCAAAACCAACCGCCGATTTGTGAAGAAGTTTGTGAAGACACAGCTCTTCTCCCTTTTCATCCAGGAAGCTGAGAAGAGCAAGAATCCGCCTGCAGGTACAGTTAATACCCAACAGTCTCATCCCAGGGAGGGTCTAGGATGAACAGGAGCGAGAAGTCTCTCCCAGAGATGCACACAGTTGTAACTTTTATTAATGGGATTGAAAAGAAGTCCCCTGAAAACTGAGACAATGCCTCATAGATTGACAGTTTATAAAAGCTGGTCTGTCGATTAGTCAGCAGGCCTGGATCTTTTTCTTTTTTGAAACTGGGAACTGAACCCAAGACCTTGTGCTTGCCAAGCAAGGCCCTGTGCCGCTGAGCTGTATCCCCAGCCCTTGGATCCTTTCTTATTTTAGGGCTAACCTCTGGTAATTATCCCGTTTGTAAACTCATTTTTCGGCCAAACTGAACATTGATCTCCAGAGGGCTGCAAGGGCCTGAGGATACTAGCAGGGATGGGTGTGTGGGGGAAGTGTGGGACACAAAGCGTTTTTTTGATCCTTATTCGTGAGCTCATGATAGCCTGCCTGGCCAGGTTAGATGCCTCTAACACTTATATCTGAACCCACAGGCTATTTCCAACAGAAAATACTTGAATATGAGGAACAGAAGAAACACAAGAAACCAAGAGAAAAGACTGATGTAAGAGCTGTGACGAACAGGAAAGACTAGACCTACGGGCCAGCTGTAGACTCTGGCCCCCACCAGTGTGGTAGGATTGGCAATACTCTCAGCCTCGAGAGTTCACAGCTTCCTCCCGAGTGCTGAGTCCTGGTGACTAGGTCTGACTTCAAACTGGTATATAAGTTTGGGATCCTTGGTATCAACTTCCCAGGACTTTTGAGGGCTTTGTCCCCAGACTCAAAGAACTGGACTCCAAACTGCATTTCTTTTCAGAGGTGACACAGAGCAAGGAACAGTACAACTGGTGGTGTACTACCATCTCCTGGGAACTATTATTAGAAAATCCTCAACAGAGAGAGCCCCAATATTTGGTTCCCTCAAATAAACAGAGGTCTATGGACATGTGAGGATAAGAATAAACATATGAATCTTATTGTTTATGTGGGGCAATACACGTGAGAACAAACTGGGCTAGAAGTGGGTTGTGTTTGGAGTCACAGAACCCTGTATGTCAGCAGCTTTTTTTTTTTTTTTTTTTTGGTGGCACTGGGGATTAAATCTAGGGCCTGCACATTGAGCTTTATCTTTGTTTTTTTTTTTTTTTTTGCTTTTTCCTTTCTTTTTTTATTGAGACAGGATCTTACTAAGTCACAGAGTTCAGATCCTACTCCTTCAGCCTCTCAGAATGCTGTGAATTCCCATGTGTGCTACTTTGCCAGGCTAGCAGCTCCGCTTCTGATAGGAAGGATAAGAGATCCTTGTAAAGGCAGCAGCAGCACCAGACGTAGGCAGCAGAGTCTTTGGATCTCAAGAGATCCTTCCTTCTTCAATCCTGGGAGAGGCTGCTAGCTGGAAGGAGGCAGCTGTAGTCTAGGATAACTTGAGGAGAAGACTCTCAGACAACAGGAGCTAGCTGGCTTTCATAAATAGGTGCCTGCCTATCACTAATGGGTTACCTGTCTATCATTCCCACTCCAGAATAGTACTTTACTGTTAGTCTTACACATTCTACCTCCAACTGCTTGTTATTTTGAGAAGCCTAGTTAGGTGTTTTTTTTTTTAGCTAAAGGTAGAGGGATCCCTGACTTGACACATTTTTTTTGAAAAAACAAAAACCAAAAACCAAACCCCCCCCCCAAAGCCCCACCAGAATAATAATCTTAAGAGTCCAAAGGGGTTTTGCGGTCACTGAGTTCCTCCTCCCTCTATGCCTCCACTGACAGCTTCTGTTTAAACACTGCAAGACACAGGAAACATTTTTGGAAGGATCTTTCAAAAGGATCTTTTAAAATTGCTACCTTTAAAAATGTGATCCAGTGTGGTCCTCAGGTCTGACTTCTATACAGGGAACATTCTGGAGAGTAGAATGGGGGGAAATGGGTAGCAAACTAAAGTTAAAGCCAATGTAGTGTGATTTCGAGATGTAACACACATTTCACTGTCCACACCACCCATAACTATGCTGCTATTCTTGACAGCTTCGAAGAATCATTATACCTTTTTGGGTTAATTTATGACTAGTTCCTAAACCTAGTTGTATCTCAAAAGGTTTTAGAACAAGAGATAGAATCCTGGGAAGCTAATGAAAATACTGGTAATAGGATCTGGAAATTGGTAGGATTTAAAAGCTTCTTGGGGTGATTTTGATAGCTGGTAAATAAACACAAGAATCAGGGCTAGCTGAAGTTTTCTACAAATGTATCCTGGATCTGATGCTGGTACCTAGTACTGAAGGCGGCATACACTGAATATTTGGTGCTTTCCCAGCTTGTCTTTATTCTTAAAAAGATTCTAGAACATATACATTTCAATTAGCCTGGACAGTTTGGTTTTCAGCTTTGTATGGTAAAGGGGAAAACACTGGATAGGAATCAGAAGGTCTGGATTCTAGCCTCTAATTTGAAAAATATCAATACTGTGTGACACTGGTATACCATTTAGCCCCTCCACCTCAATTTCTGTTGTAGGTAATTAACACCTGCTAAGTATGGTGTAATAATCGAGTAAAACAACAGCTACAACTGTGTCCAGCAAGATTTATCCTTCTTCCTTTTTCGTGCTTTGTCCTAGCTTCCCAAACTTGAACTGCCCCAGAGTTTTCCTATCCTAGGTGTTGGAGAAGTTGCTAGCAAGAAAAGGTAATGAGAGATTTCCTTTCTATCTGCAGTCTGGCAAAGAAATGAAAAATTTAACTCTCATTGCCAATCCAGATGTACCCTGGATTACTGGAACCATTCGAAGTGTAAGAAACCATGGTCCCAGCTGCTAGACCATGCAGTGCAATTACTATTTATTTGTGATTGTGGAAAAAGATACTAATAAAAGTCATTAATAAGATATCTTTCTAGCTTTAAATGTTTTGTCGTCTCCCTCTTCATTCAAGCAACAGAACATATATATAAAAAGGAAAAAGATCTGTTTCACAGAAGACACTTAATTCCTATTTCTAATTGTAGTATAACTATTGGTAAGAATACCAAAAAGGAAAGTCAAGTGACCGCCCCCTGCCCTCAGGGAGGTCTATGCAATCACTGAAATGTGAGGGAAAGGTCTAAAGTTCCCAAATGATGGATAATCACAAGGATAACTATTGCAACACAACTCATGAGAGGGAAAATGAACAGTCCTCTTTTTAAGTTAGATAGTTTCTACAAGAGAGGAAGGTTACGGGACACATCATGACAACATAGCTGATTGGACTTCCTTATTTATTAAAGAACAGAAATAAACTTTGCTTAAGTTTTTAAAATGACAATAGAACTTAGTTAACCTTTATACTGAATAAAGCTGCAAAAAACCTGGTTTTTAGATCATATGTTTATTTAAAAAAATAAAGTGGATCGACAAAGTTATCATATAATGCATGCTAACAGAATTTCCCAAGCCCATGAGAGATACCATTTCTTGAGCAATGATAAAAATTTTTTTTTTCCTCTCAATAATGTAAAGATAGAAAACCTTTCAATCCAAATTCAAGGTCTTTCTCACTCACTGCACCTCACAAGCTTGTGGGATGTATCTGTCACAAGCTGAACTCCTTAGTAAAGAAAGCTTGAGAAGACACTAAACAAGGATGTTACTAAAAGATAATGATTTGTTAAAAGTATAAAGCAACCATCTTTTGGCCTGTAAATATTCTACATTAGAAATCGCCACCATTTGAGACCTGCTCCACATGACAATATTATTTTGAAACCAGGATAATTAACAAACACATGGCATTTTTTTCCTGCATGCTTTCTTGGGCCAAATGCTGTATGACCACATGTATAATTTACCGGACGGGACTTCAAATTCCCATTCTCACACAGGTTAGGGAGTGTTACCAATAACAAAGAATGAAAGTTATACAACATTGATTATTATAAATTATATTTGTTCTCACCCACCCCCATTCTCCTTAATATGTTCAGATTCTTTCCTGCAGAAAACGTGAGTTTCCTATATAACACCACTACATCATTAATGATGATTAGAATGACCTGTAGAGACCTTGATTCTGAAGACATGTATGTGCAGGTGAGATGCAATTTGATTACAAACACTGACACAGTAGCGAATCAAATCAAAGAAAGAGAAAACCTGAAAAGAAATGAGATTGTTAGATTCTTACAAGTTTAGGCCCTCCCTAAGCTTCCAGAGAGAAAAGAGGAGTAGCCTCTGACTTTCTTCTCTCTTCAGATTTGCTGTCAATTCTATACAAGCAAGTAATTAAACTGTCTCATGATTTTTCCTTTATATAAGGAAACAACTCTTAAGAGAGACAGTAAATATTTTAAGCTCTGTTTACTACACAGCGTTTGTCACAACTGCTCAACTCTGCCACCACTGCATGAAAGCAGACACAGACAGCATATAAATGAATGGCTAGAGCTAGATAAACCATCTCCAGACCCACAGACTGTACTTTGAATTATAATGCAAAAATAAAAAATTGCTAGGTATGAAGCCATCAGTAAGTCTTACAATGCTTCATATATGGGGATTTCTGACATTCTCAGTCATTACAATTCTATGAACTTTCTCTCACTGAACCAAGACAACGAGTAGCCTCAAATTATGAAAGAAAACATAGTATGACACTTACCAGAGCAATCCAAAGTACAATATACTCATCGATAAAGCTGTTAAAATACTGGTCCAGAAACAAAAGTGCTGGGCCAATGAATGCTGTATCATGCAAATGCATTTCACTTTTTGTCATATGTGCAACCTACGAAGAGAACAAAATTAGTGCTGTAGGCTTTTTCACATTACAGTAACTGTGAGGAAAATAGTAAATCAGTATTACACTCAAATATCAAGCTTCAAGAATTACTCAGCAATGGCTGAATTTACAAAGCTAAACACCCAACGATGTAAAGGATGTGTGAGAAAGAGTGAGATATACCATTTAACTTAGCTTGCAAAAAATGCTCGCTTATAAGGATCTTTGATTGTCCAGGTTGAGACTGGTAAGTGCAGATACACTGAATAACCAAATGCAAGAGTGGACAAAATTGTGGAAAGTTGTAGAGGTTCAAAGGAGTTCAGATTGACGGGAATGGTGGTGCATGCCTGTAACCCCAGCATTTGGGAGGCTGAGGCACGAGGACAGTTGCAAGTTCGAAGTCAGTGAGACTAGAAAGTGAGTTCAAGAGAAGCCTAAACTACATATTGATGTCAAGAGATTTTTATTTCCAACTCTAGGACCAATTAGCAAAAAAAAAAAAAAAACCCAAAAAAACCTACAGAATAAAACCATGTCCATAAAACCAAAATAAGAGGCAATCTGAAAACAAATACCAAGTGAGGTGCTTACCACAAGCTTATTTGTGATTTTAGCTGATACAAAACCAAATGTCAGTATATAAAGACAGGGATGCTTTTCAAAAAGCTGAACTGCTGATTTCTTGTAGATCATTACAGCTAATGTAATCACTGATCCAATATGGAGAAAAGGAGAGAGTACACTTGTTCCCTGTACAGAGTGAAGAGAAGAGTTAAAAGCATTCAGTATCATCAGGTACACACCATGGATTTGCCATGAAATAGTTCAACTAAAACTTTCTAGAACTTCATGGTGCTTGATAGCCAACAATTTCTATAAACTGACCACCAGAATGGCTAATAAAAACCAGCAACCTGAACTGGTAAGGTACAAATTCAAATGTTTACACAACAAGTCAGGCTTATTTTTACAAATGAGGTCATACTTATTAGAACTAGTTAAGTGTGTGTATGCGCATAATAAAGGCATATATAAGCATGCAAGTTTATGGATATATACATAAAACAGGTTATCGCTTTTTTCAAAGCTAGGTAGAAGTTCTAAATTAAGAAATGATTTTATACATGTCAAGTGAAAAGCAAAGCAGCCACAAAACTAAGTCCTAGTCTGGAAATAACTGAAAACCTAAAAATATACTCACTGCTATTGTTGATCCATTTTTGCCAACACCACCTGTGAAGATTACACGGAAGTAATTTGTACAGGAAAATACGGTCCCTGCTACAGTACAGAGTGCAGGAAAAAGTTTCATTTCAATATTCAGCACTGGAATCTTTAATGGGTAGAGAGAAAGAACAATTAAAATATATACAAACTAAAATAAGAAAACAGTACAAATATTTGATTTATATTCCTAGATTATCTCCATTCCTTCCAGTTAATATTTCAAGCAATGGAAGCTTCTTTTTCCTCTTCATTATACATAATATAATAAGGCTCAAGAGATGAGTCTGTATAAAAAATAATCTCATTCTGATACCAACCTTAAACATACAGACCCAACTTTATCAATTTGTGCCATAAGCTAAGCAAGGTTTTCCTAATGCACTCCAGAGGTCTGGCAACAGTAACTATGCTATCTTCTGCCCTTTTCATAAAGGGATGAGCCTTGCCTTTTTCTTTCTGTATATTCTGAACTCTTACCTAAATTTGTAGTAATTCCTAATTATTGTGGGAAAGTATGGAACATAAAGGAATAAAAATATTTGCAACTAGATTTTAACATCTGCAAGTAGATAATGGAATAAAAATTTCTACTCTGGAGAGTCCCCAACTCCTTACAAGCACCTGGTGAATGCTGAGGGCAACTGAGGTGGCATTCATACGGAGACGAAAAATCTTACCAAGCAAAGCCACACTGGTATAGCTCTACAATTGTGTATCCAAGTTTTTACTCTGTTTATTTCTTAGAATAGTAAATAATATGTTGCCATAGGACTGTATACTGAAAATGTGAATGGTTTACTTAAAGAGGGGCCGAGTGGATTGATAATGTGTTTAATCTTGCAAGCATAATATGCCTCATTTAAAATGAAAGACACTTACACTAAACTTTTAAATTCATTTCAGATTGTTCTTTTTTGCATCCTTAGAGTTTCTGCTTTCAAAATCTGTCCAATATGGATTGAAAAGAAACTGACAGCAAGATACATTCTAGTAACAGAAACAATTATAGAAGTAAGACTCTAAAAGCCCACAATAGTTCATCACTGGGGATTGAACCTAGCGCCTTCGCACTAAGCTACAACCCTAAACTATTTTAAATTTTGAGACAGGGTCTTGTTAAGTCACTAAGTTGCCTACACTGGGCTCAAACTTGTGACCCTTCTGTCTCAGGCTTCCAGAGTGCTAGGATCACAAGTGTGTCACACCATGCCTGGGTGAAAATGTTTTAATTGGAGCTATACAGTACTTTACAGGACTGTCGTTTACCTATACCTTTAAAATCAAATTGAAAATGGGATATTTCCTCTTTTTTTAATGTTTAAAACTCCAGTCAAATTGGCAGGCATAAATTTTCTTCTTTGGATACTCCGTATCTTCAAAACTCTCAAGAACTTAGCTTTGTTTGTACAACTCAATGAACTTTTACAAAATCGCAGCTCTAAAAAAGAAATCAACTCTTCAAGTTTCAAGATATACTGCAACAGTATTTAATTTTCTAAAATGAGGTCAGCCTAAAATCAAGTAAAAAATTTTATGGAGCATCCTAAATGATCTTCTTCTTTCCCTGATACCCAACCTCAACAGTCTGTATTTAAAACTTGTTTTCATTAAAACCATGGATTTTTCTGCTCTAGTTCAGAAAACTAGGGACATTACAATCTAAATCTGATGTACCTGACTAAAACTCTATCCTCTGGCTAGTTTCCTAGTTCCAGTCTCTCCTCCAGCCATCCCTCCCACTCTTCCCTCCATAGAGACAAAAAATGTCTCTAACAAAGGTGGAAATACTACACTTGCCCAGATTCCAAAAGAAGCAGAGCGTTATTCCATTACAGGGGTACCCTGTATTAGGGACAGGGTACTGGATGAGTGCCAGCTGTATAAAATAGTAATCTGTGTCATGACTGAACATGATTAAACATCATATCTGTATTTACAATTTGGTGACACTGCTTTTAGGATCATGGAAATTGTTGCCCTTTGAAAGAAGAAAGAATAAACACAAACATTAGTACATGGCTTGGATCACAAAGTAAGCAAGCAAGCTAAGATCTAAGAGCAAAGTATTATAAACATTTTTAGGCTCTTACCACTTCTGTCATATATGTTAGTTTTATACACTGAAATATAAGCTCTTGGACATAGGATTTGTTTAAATTAATTTTTATATTCTCTATAGAGCCCTGATTTTTGTAGGTGCTCAATATATATATTTGTTGAAAAAATATTAAGATCTCCTTTCTCTTATTGTGTAGGTAGTTATTGTTTGGGGAGAGTATGAAGAAACAGCTGGCTCCCAAGTTAGCAATTAGAAAGGTAGGCAGTTATAAGAAAAGGTGAGGCAAAGTGAAGGAAGGCTGGAGTCAGAGGAATCCCAAGTCCTACTAGGCAATCCCTTAGAAACGGATACCAGATGAACCACTTATGAAAAGTATTAACTAGCTAGCAGTGTTGTCATTTTTGCCTCACACCCATGATAGAGGGAGGGAGGGCATATCCTGTCCTTCTCAATCCTTCTTTTTCTGTCTTCTTATTTAGCTCATCAAAGGTGACTGAAGTGGATCTACTCTATAGAAATAGCCAAAGAGCTGTTTTAAAAACACTTTTATTGCAGGCCTGCCTGAAATTTCAGTCGTCTTTAAAACTTGGAATGATTACAAATTCCCTTGGAAACTGGGCTTGGTGGTACACACTTATAATTCTAGCACCCTGGGAGGCTGAGGCAGGAGGACTGAAAATCCAAGTCCAGCCTGGGTAATTTAGTTAGAGACCCCATCTCAAACCAACCAACCAACCAATTAAACAAACAAATGCGTAGGGGATGTAGCTCAGTGCAAAGGCTCTGGGCTTGATCTTTACTCTCAGGAGTTGGGGAAGGGAGGCAAATGGTATCTATCCAATAGCCAAGGGAAAACCCTCTGGATTCATGTCATGAAAATATGCATCCAAATAGTATCAATCTAAACGTAATGCACTTTGGAAAGCAATGATGAGATATGAAAACAAACAAATCTTAAAAGTATTAGCCCCTCTGCCAGATTATATGCTTTAGTTCAAGAATTGAACTATGCTTTTAGTTCAAGAATTTGAATTAATGCATATTATTAATGAGTATAGTAAAATGTTCTTATAGGTTTTATAGAATTTAGCAAAAATAGAAAATATCATTTATAGATTTGACACTTTTTTCCAAATAACTATGGGAATGCCTATTTATAAATTATTTTAATTTAAATGATTCCACCCAAATACAGCAAATGTTAACATACAGTACTCACTATGTGTTTAAGTCACCATGTATGAATTAAGTCTTTTAGTTCAAAAATGAGACATAAACTTTATACTACATAAGATTCCAATCTTAACACATGATCCTAAAATTTCACCTATAGTAACACTCACTCAGCTGCTTTAAGTGAATCCTAAAAAGTGTGTCTGTATTAATGCATATTTAATAAACTGTTGCATTTAAAAGAATTAAATGTCAGTGAAAGTAACCACGAGTGGATTACATGTGGGTCTCTTTCAAAGTGAGGACATTCTCTCTAGTGAACAGACAATATATATTTCAAAAGAAAATATGCAGGGGCTGGGGATTTAGCTCAGCAGCACAGTGCCTGCCTAGCAAGTGCAAGGTCATGAGTTCGATTCCTGCTACTGGAAAAAAAAAAAAAAGAACAAAGAAAATATGCTTTCGGGGAAACAATACACAAAAAATGTTTTTTATTTCTTACAAGATGTAAACCACACCCTAACTTTTATATATTAAAATAATTTCTTTCCTTAAAAAAGCAAAAACAAAATAAACTAATCAAACAATTCCAGGAAAACAGCAACAACACAAAATAACTGCAATCTTTAGTACAAACCTATCTCTTTGGGAAAAAGTAGCAAGGAATGGGTAATCCAAATACAACAGATGTAAATCACTTACCTGTGCTAAACAGCTGATCTTCAGGAATCAACCTTAGGAAGACATTTGCACTGTTTTTGTTTTTATCATAAATTTGCTTCCTGAATATCAGTAACAGCCATTTAATCTAATTTAACTTAATCTGGATTAGTTTAATGAGGATTTGGACAGCAATTATTTATTTTATGGGCTCAATTAAACAGACGAAAAATTTATATACTTTCTCCATTTTGGCACACAAATAAATGGCAGTACTCACGTAGTAACTGCTCCTGAATTAACACAATGCAATTCAGAACACTACATCCAGTAATGAAACCATAAGCCAAGTAAAAAATAATACAGGTTAATCATTTCCAATCCTAAAATCCAAAGTATTCCAAAATTCAAAATTTGACCTTCAAAAATTTTCAGATTTTGTAGGATTTTAAATTTTGGAGTTTTAGGTTAGAGATATTCAGGTGGTAGTTTATACAAATATTCCAAAATCTAAACTAATCCAAAATGTGGAATATTTCAGGGAATCTGTTGAGAATATTTTACTGTCTCCTATTATTACCCAACTCAGGTCCTTTCTTCTCTCTTAGTTTAATGATGCTGTAACAGTAGGACCAATGAAACTAATAGGACAGAGGTCTAAGAATCTGTTTTTCTTTTCATTTTTTGGAGACAGTGTCCTGTTAATGTAGTTCAGGCTGCCTTGAATTTACTACTGGCTTCAAATTTGCAGCAATCCTCCTGGCTCAGCCTTCAAATGTTAGGATTATAGGCATGTGCTACCAGGCCTGGCAGAATCTGTTTTCTTAACGCAATCTACTCTTGTTAATCTTAAATTTAGATTGCTTAGTCTTGGAACTCTATTTCAGTCTTAAATCTGAGCATTTCACTGATAACTTTTAAAATTAAAGATTTTATTATCTTAGATTATCTTAATTTTTAAAAAGGATTACATTATTTTATATTATATTAATTACAAGGTAGGACAAATATTTGATTTATATATGTATATGTGTGTGTATATATATATATACATATGTATATATATACACACACGTAAAAATAAAATCTACAGATCCTATAGGGAAGATAAGTATACCTGGAGCAATTTATTGCCAGATATCCCTAAAAAATGAGGATATAAGTATAATGTGTGTAAATAATTTCATTTATAAAAATGTTTCATGAATATATTT